GTCTTCTCATTAACAACAGTATTAGCCTACTTATATTCTATACTTGAGTTTACTTTTTTTTTTAATGAATTTGACTAATAAAAAGTGTGCATTGGTGCTTTATTCCTGTCTTTTTAAAATAGTTTAATGAATGAATTGATCATGAGGTGCCTACCTACGTCAACTTCTCTGAATAAATTAAGCATTTTGGGCATGAACATGTAATAGTAAAACGGGATTGACATGGGAAAAACGACACTGAATGATTATTGATTACAATATATAATCCAAATAAATAAATGTTCGTGTTTCGTACTGATGTTTCAGCGTCGCGGTCACTAGTGTAGACGAACACTGACACCCTGTGGTGAAATAATGGCGTATTTTTAACAGCCGCAGCTTTCTCGTATTGCCTTGGGGTTTTTTTTAACGTTCCGATGAGTTTTGAAAATTCTGCAGACGGTAGGCTACATCAGAATATCCCTTCTTCTGTCAATAAAAATGTCCAAAATATAAAATCTTATTACAGACACTCATTTTAGGTGGTATTTGTTCAACTCATTGACCGCAGTACATTGAAAGTAAACGTAACCGGAAATAAGTGATATTGTTTCCAAACGGAAGTGCGTCGCGAAGCTTAGTGCAAGTAGTCCATTGCAGTCTTACACAAGAATAGTCAAAAGTCTGAGAAATAAGTAAGGGATGCTGTAATCCAGCCAGTTGTCCTCAAAATAAACCCGACAGTGTGACGCAGAGGGGTCTGAAGGGGGTTATTTTGAGAGAATAATTTTAGCTAATTATTTTACAAATTACTAAATACGTGGGTTGGGCCTACAGGGAGGAGGTGTAACAGCTTGTGGACTGATGCAACACAAAAAAATGAATGATGACAAAATGAAGGAGATCATTGTTGACTTCAGGAGAAAGCAGCACAGTCAAGATGTAGGCGTCTTTGTTTTCACAGTATTTTCAATTTTGACATTTTTTGGTCAAACCGTTGTTGTCTATCAGTCATACACTGGAGGCTAAGGGGGATGGCATTATACACACATCTACCAGCCAAAGTAAATACATCTATAAGAGTTTATACTTAGAATTGAATTTTGGCAATAAATGATTAATTATTACACAACAATGCATGAGCCAGTGTTGTAGTACTCGAGACTCGGACTCGTCTCGGACTCGGTCTCGAGACCATATTTTAATGGTCTTGGTCTTGTCATGGACTCGTGTGCATTTGGACTCGGAATTGACTCGTACTCGAACATTTTTTTTTTTAGGACTCGGAATTATTCCCGAGTCCACTCGAGTTCAATTAAAAATATTTTTAATGATTATAAATGTATGTTAATAAAATATTTCTTTAAATTGATTGACACGCCCAGTGATTGGTGATTTTCTAGTGCGCAACTGCGCATGACAAATTGTAATAAAATTACTTTTAAGACCACCTACTATGTGGCCTTACCCTAAACTGATCATATTTTTTAAACTCTAAGTAAATTCAGTAAAAAAAAAAAAAAAAAAAAAAAAGGATTTCTCTAAGTAAATAAAAGTAAATTAGGTAATCAACCCTCACTGGTCTCGGTCTCGACTCGGACTCGACCGTCTCTGGTCTCGGACTCGACTCTCTATGGACTCGGTCTTGACTCGGACTCGACTCTCTCTGGTCTCGGTCTTGACTCGGACTCGAGTGAGGTGGTCTCGACTACAACACTGGCATGAGCTCTATTATTTTATCCTTTAGATCAACGCATCCCAAGTTCACTGTGAATAAATGAGTGCACTTAAAGTAGTGTGCATCCTAAAACAGCGACACTGTCTATATTCACAAGCCTCAATCTCACATAAACACACGTGAAAACACAGATCATATATCAACCTTTAACTAAATAGGGCACGTTACATAAATTCAGCCGTATCCATTTAATCACTCTACTGATAAACACATAAACGATTTACGCGCGAACCGCGTGCTCTCCGGCTGTAAACTCTTGCATTTCACATTGGATTCGCCCCGTATCATAACTCAACAACACAATATACCTAACCTATCAAAAATAAGTTTAGTCACTAATATTCAGATGAGTGCAAATGTACGGTTCATGTACCTGAAAGGGAGCAGGTTTATCAGTGAAAAGTCAGACGAGATGCCTCATTAAAAGAGTTTTTACTTAGAATGAAGCGTCTCGCGAGAACTCCCCAACCACCCAGTGCCCGCGCACACACACGACCAATCAGATGCACTCATCCCAAGCATGTCATCATTACGTTTTTAACCTCAAACAAAATCAGTAAAAATATGAATTAATGCAGAACATTAACATATATAATTATTTAAAGTGAAGACTGAATTAAACCTCAGGTGAAAACACAGTCTTGTTCACATTTTACTCAGCATATTACCATAGACATATACACTAGACCTCACCTTGGCTACGGCAGTTCATTGGAACGAATGCGTCAATAGAGCCGCCATCTTGAAACAGGGGAGCCCCTCCACTTTAATGCATCAGCGTCAATGTAGTAGACACAGGTCTAACGGAAATAAAATCACCATAAATCATCATGAATGTGATTTTTCTTGTTTTTTTTGGTTTGTTCCAACGGTCAGACATGTATTTATCATTGATTCCAAAAATAAATTTTTTTTTTTTTTTTTAAAAACATTCTTCTTAGTTCAGATTTCATCCGTGAACATCATACGCTGCACAAAAGTGCGTCACCATCAATGAATTCGAAGTAAAGGCAGAGATAGCAGCCTTACCTAGCTACTTCCTATGACAAGACCCCTGTTCCAAGATGGCGGCGGTTTTGACGCATGCTTAGAACCCCAAGGTGAGGTCTAGTGTATATGTCTATGGCATATTACAATGGCACGGGCGCTTCGGTCCGGAAATGATCGCTTGCGCGCCGACGTCACTCTTTGTTTATACAGAGATTTCGGAAGTTTTACCTTTCACTAAACATATTTAGATATACGGGAAACCGCAATGGAAGACGATTTCGGTATATCTAAATATGTTTAGTAAAAGGTAAAACTTCCAAAATCTCCGTGTAAATATTGAGTGACGTCACACGCAAGCGATCACTTCCGGCGTAACATTGAACTGATTCAGTTCGGTTCAGTTGGACATTGCGCAACTGATTCAGATCACTTGGATTACAAGAGGTAAAAACGATATAAATACTGTTGGTTTTCTCTCACAAACTGCTCGTTTTGTGTCTTAGGCCATCAATGTGTACTTACATTTACGAGTCATTAAATCATGTTTAATTTGGACTTCTCTGTGCATGCTCTTTGGTGGACCCCCTAAACCTCCAGTGTATGACTGATAGACAACAACGGTTTGACTGAAAAATGTCAAAATTGAAAATACTGTGGAAACAAAGACACCTACATCTTGGATGCCCTTGAGGGAAGATAAAACATATCAAAAATTAATTTCAAAGTGAACTATCCCTTTACGGCTCGAACAGGAAATTTCTGAATGGTTGTTTAACGTAATGTCACTTTGATCTATCTTTGTGTAATGGCTGGGTAATGTTAGACTAACTTAGTGAGCTGTACGAACGCTATGTGTTTATTGACTCAATTTATAATAACACAATAACCGTAACATGTTGTTCATTATAAACATGGGCTTATGAATTATATTGAGAACGTCGTACATAGAAAACATGTCGTAATGTACCCTGAGTATAAACCTTAGCGCATTCACAGTAAAGCATGCAAGCGATTTGAAAAGATTAACATAAAGGTTAATAAAATTTTACACTCACTTCTTCTGGAGGTGCAGCGGAGACACGAATTGTTGGTACTGATTATTTTTTTCAGGAGCATGTTCTTAGCAAAACTGCATAAAGTTGTTTAGGAAAACCATTCTTTAATCAAAATATGTGTTTATGTTTATATCAACCTGAGTATAAAAAAGGCGACAGATGTTTCAGAGGCAGTGGATGAACAATGTTTACAGCAGAGGGAGACAACATTACGTAAATGGATGTCACGACCGTTTTAATTTCTATAATTTATATAATTTCTTCCCCGGCCCAGAACGCAGTTAATCATGAAACACTCGTAAAAATAAAGCTTTGTTTACATAAATGTTACAACGAGAAACCTTCAATATTCCCACTGTACTTTTCTTTATAGTTGAAAGCGGTTCTGTCGATTTATTAAAATGTTCTTCACACTAAGAAAAATATATATATATTTATTTTAAGAATTTATTTTAAGATCACTGAAAAATGGTTCTTCAATGATATCACTGTGAAAACCTCCTTTTATTTTTTAAGAGTTTGCGGGTGCAATTCCAAATAACTCGAAACATTAAAACATCGTGCAAAAATACATTTATATAATTTATTCAACTTTACAGGTGCAACTAATATATTATATAGACTCATGAGTCATTACATGCAAAGGAGATATGTCAAGTCTTTATTTGTTATAGGCTAATGTTGATGATTGTCAGCTTGTGAAAACCCCAAATTCAAAGTTAGAATATTGTGATAATCATCGCAATTATAACTAATAAAGACTGGAAATAAATATCTCACTTTACATGTAATGAGTCTAATATATTAGTTTTACATTTTAAGTTGAATTACTGCAATAAATTAACTTTTATTTTATTTTTCGAGTTTGTAGCTCTGTAGCTCTGATAAAAACCAGCAGAAATTTCACTTTTAATTCAATTATTGAATCAGTCCTTGCAATTTTGAAGATTTATATGATTTTAATGAGTCAATGTTTTTGGTTGGGTGGGGGTACTTCATCATTGATCATTTCGATCATCATTTTACTACATGTTTATGTGTTACAGTAATTTTGCTCTCACGTCTGATTAATTATCTCAAAAAGCTTTCGGTTACTTTTGTAAAAATTTGATTTATTGATATTTAATGTTTCTAATCAACTAAATGCGTCTGTAGAGGAATTATTTCTATAATGTATTAAGACTACAAACATGCATTCGTTCAGTTTCTCATTGTATGAAAAGCACACAATAATAATAGTGCGTATCCTTCAGAACTGTTTTATTGACAATAATATGAAACTCATATTCAAACATATGATTGATCATAAGTTGGTGTCAATCATTGGCAGATTTTCATCTTACATTTGGTAGAAAACTTGATTTATGGCTGGTACGCTCCATTACATGAGTATGAGTACTTGCATTTATGTAAATAGTTTTACATAACTTCTGCCATCATCACCATTCTTCAACATCACTCTTCATAATAATGTCAGACAGCTGATCAATCATATCAATAACAGCATCTGTACATCTAATTGTGTTTAGAAGGGAACTGATTGCAATTTCTACACTATTTGTTTTTTGTTTTTCTAGCCTGATTTTTTAAAAATGCTGATAGAAGAAAACATAATTTCCCAAACAAAACAACGAAAACTTTTGAAAAAACTATATCTGACATTAAATACAATCCCACATCACTCTATTATATAAACCATTGATGTGTGTGTGTGGATGCAGTCGTCCGGGACGGTCCACGTCTGTAATGGCTTCAGTCAGAAGGACAGGTGTGTGTTAGTGCTGAGATTACCTTATAAGTGCAACATATCGTCAAACCCTTCACAATGCAAATCTGTCCTCACTTTAACACCGCAATCAGAATGTCAAACAATATCATATTCGTAGCACTGTGTGTTAATCACTTGCACATTAAAACTTTCCTTTTTATCTCGAGGTCCCATTGAATTACCTCTCAATTTACACGTAAACCTCAGATATGATTGTCTAATCCATTAGCCGCCGCTTTAGGAACATTAAAGGCACTCGAAGTATCTGACCAGTGTTAATCCTCAGAAACCATAAATCATCTTCAGTTACGTTTGGCTTCAGCTGATCTGCTTTTAGAGAAATAAAGAGCTTACTGCTACACAAAGCAAAGCTACATACACAAATATATTAAATACAAGTTTCGTCCAGATGTTGCGCTGATAGAAAAGGTGCTCGCCCCTTCAGGGTCTGTAGGTTTTGATGACGTCCTTGATGGGTCTCCGACAGATGGGACAGCAGGCGTTGGTCTGTCTCTTGAGCCTCAGTCCGCAGTCGTTGCACAGACACATGTGTCCACAGGTGTAGATGACAGTGTCCACCTCCTGGTCGAAGCACACGGTGCACTCGCTGCTCTTGATGCTCAGAGGAGCGTCGCACGAGGACAGGGTGGGCGAGACGGGAGGACTGAGAGGAGAGCTGGGAGCCGTCACTGAAACACACACACACACACACACACAGTAAACCCGCTGCGGTGCGAGAGAGCCGAGATCACGGCACAGGACGCCACTTCTGGACGTTAAAGGTGCAGTGCGTGATGTTTAGCAGCATCTAGTGGTGAGGTTGTGTATTACACCCAACAGAAGTTAAGGCGGCCGACAGGAAGTACCGCTGATACCGCTTTAATAACTGTTTAACAACATGTCTGAAGTTTTTAATGTCAAAATTTGCTTGTGAAATGCCGTAAAAACAAACTTCTACAGGTATGTTAAAGTCACGAAGGAAAGGAAGTACCGACAGATCTTTTATCCAGTGTTGTGACATGCAAACAGAAAAATAAATAAATATAGGGCTGGACTTGGTTGTGTGCATCAGCTGTTGATTGGATGTTGAGATGTGGGCGTGGCTCTCAAGATGAGCTTGTTAAAGAGGAATCAATGATTGGAGAAAACCTGCGTACGTCCTAGGAGAAGATCTTGGAAGATCCAGTGGTGACATTTCAGTCGAACATTAAAAATGAAACTTGCACGGATGAATCAGTCACTATGAGATCAGTAACATGCATTTAGAAGCAGGGTGAAAGATGAAAATTAATATCATGCCGACGCCAATCAGTCATTTCAATTGATGATATGAGCATTTGGCCGGTGAATGTGAGCGGATGATGTGGAGACTCACCCAGAGACGACTCGGATGCTGACGAGGATCTGTTGACACTGAAAGCCAGGTCAGAGTCGCTGTCGTCCGGCGTTGACCCCTGAGACACTGAGGGGGAGGTGGGGGGGCTGGCCTGAACCGTTCCTTACGGACACACAGAGCAACATTTACCACATGCATGAATTTGTTGTGTTGAGCTATTGCAATTACTTTTGTTTGATTTGATTTTTGTAAATTTGGCCAATAAACCTGATTTGCAATGGGGGTTGAATCATTTCGAGTACAACTATAGCATGTCCTCTTGTTCCTTGTGACTAATATTAGGCAGCATATTCCACTTTCCATTCCAGGGAGGAATATCACGCTCTGTTTTCGATACAGTAATATTAAGACATTAACGTGATGCAATTGTCCCATGGTGCGAGTTTGATCCCTCACGCATGCTCTTCGTCTGATATAATCATCTGCACTGAAATGAATGGAACAAAAAAAACTGTTTTCCATCGTGATTTTCCCTGCTTTTTGCAGAATGCCATGCTGTTCTGAATCACATAATGTGACACGAGGGAATTATTTAGGAACACGAGTAAAGGAAAAGCGTCATCCTGAAATAAAGTCGACTTTTGGACCCGTTTGAATGCATTAGTTACGGGTCGAGGAACCCTGGGAGTGCGATCTCTTTTCAAGCAATAAAGCAGCTATACAGAAAGTTATTGACACACGCACAGCTGGCTCATACCACACAAATGAACCACCACGTAAACTGGACTATAATGGAAATATGACATTGTTTGAGATGTCTTTGTCATGACAACTTGACATTACTGAGACATCACAACCTGTCATAAACATGATATAGCAGATTAATGATCAAACTTAACCCTTGTGCATCCTTATGGACATTTTTGTCCTTTTCAGTTTTGTTTTTTTGATTACTTTGCCTGTGTTAAAACTAACTGCAAAAAACTTGGCACAGGTGTGTATTTTTATTGTAATTTTACTATAAAAAATATTTTTTGCATTAGGTACAAAAAAACACTCCCTCTCAGCACCTTTTGGACAAAAATGTCCCCATTGAAACCCATTAAAACTGCCATTTTTAATCCCCGGTTCAGTTAACTATAAAATTATGCAATCTTTGTTAAGAGGCTTTCATTCTGATGGCAAGGCTTCAAAATTTTATTTTGTACTATTTTTTATCAGATGGTGCCATTTTTTTTAAGTTTGGCCTAAACAAATATCGCTTTATTCCTGTTTTCTGCTTCGGCATATTATAGAGCCGACTGGATAAATTATGCAACAATATTTGTGTGGGTGTGTTGGTATGGATGTCAGAGTGTGGTTAGTATGCGTGTTGTAAAAAAATATGTGTGTGTGTTTGTAATACTGAGAAAAACTGCAAATTCAGATCCAATCACTGTGAGCTCCAGTGGGGTTTTGCTGCCACCCAATGGGGAAAATATAATACTACGCCCAAACAAACTGTTACCCAAAGCTCATTTTTTGAGATATCATCCTCAAATTTGGAACACAACCGATTTAGATTTATGGCTTTGATTTTATTGCAGTTTTGAGTTCAACCTGATTTATAAAATATACATTTTATATAAAATATTTTTTATAAATAATTTTCATAAACTTATACCTATATAACTTTTTTTTTTATTTACTTATTATTATTTTTTTTTACTTCAGCAATAATCTGCAAAGGGTCTTCTTTAAAATGATACCAAACTTCTGTACAAAAGTCTGTGCTCCAAAGCGTTTTTTGACATGGACATTTCTGTCCCCTTTTTACCTATAATTAATGCACAAGGGTTAAGAAAGCACTTCGCTTTATGGGTTAACATTACATTAAACTGTCAGGTGGTTGGTTTTGACATTGGCTGTCATGAGGCCATTATAACTTTTTAATGACAAATCCAACGTGTACCACTGTAGTCGAGGTCACGAAAACTATTCACGACACAGTTATAATGCCTCGTGACAGCCGATGTCAAAAAGCTAAGTGGTTTGCCTGTCTCATTTGATCATTTCCATTTCTTAATGAATCCTACCTAATATCCTGAGTCGGTTCACGGCCCCGTGGAGTGTGAAGAAGGCCCACAGAACCTGAGAGGAGTCGACACACAGGAGCCGAGTGCTCGCCCCGCCGTTGACCCCATGATGCACCTCTCCGTTGGGCATGAAGGTGAAGCTGAGCACGTCTCCGGCCGCCGGCACCGGGAACCCCCTGTACACCACCCAATACTCCTTACGGTCCAGAAGCACCTCCGGGTCGGCCGGCAGGTCCCCCGCGCTGAGGCTGCCAGGGTCACAAGAGGTCATGCCAAAGAGAAGCGACCCGAAGTACGGCAACCCCAAATGCCCGACCTCGACGTAAAGAGTCTCGCCCACCCGAACGGGCCGGTCGCTGAACATCAGAGTCCGGCTGCTGTCCAGAAAGTGCGTGCACGCGACAGTGCGGTCGTTGGAGAGCACCACGTCGGGCCCCCGCACCGGGTGGAAGTGCAGGTGTGTGTCGAGCGGGCCTCGGGTCGGCCTGTGCACGGAGGACGAGGGCGCGGAGGAGCCGCAGACGGGGATCAGCGTGTTGCAGTTGCTCAGGTGTAGCGTGGCGAACTTGGCGGCGGCGGCCTGGTTGGTCTCCAGCTGGTTGTTGCTGTAGTTGGCCGAGTCGTGGTTGCTCTGCGGGAGATAGGCACTGAGTCGTGCGGCGCTCAGGACGCTGGAGCCCACGCTCTCCGCAAACGTGCTCTCTGAGGAGGAGGGAGACACAGGTGAGGCGGGACACGTAGCAAAAAATGCATTAATATGTATTATACCATGGTCTGGTGAATACTCGATTCTGATTGGCTGCAGGGTGTCGATTAAAAAGTGATAGAGGACACCTAGTAAAGCAGTTCTGGTGAAACTGTTCACCGTTCGAAATGAATAAATAAATGCGCTGGCGACATCAGCTGTGAGTAACCATAGCAACAGGCAGTCAAACGGCGCTTTTATTAAAAGTATTCAGCTCTTATGTCAGTGTTGTCTGGTTCTCTATGTTTCAGATTTGATCATTTTCTAAGTTGTTTTCTTAATGTTTTGTCAAGCCATTTTACATCTTTTGGAGTATTTTAGTGTATTTTTTGCCTTTCTTTTTCAATTCACTTCTATGTGTTGCTTTTTTAATTTAAATATGTTATTGATTGCATTTGTTGCCGAATTAACACCATCTTTAGTTGCTTCGAATTTCTTATTAATCTCTCTCTGTCTCTCTCTGCACCTCTCTCTGTCTCTCTCTCTCTCTCTCTCTCTGTGTTTCTCGCTCTCTCTGTCTGTCTCTCATAATATAATAATATATAACATAATAATTTATTATTATATGTTTGTATTTTAAATAATTCTTTAAAAAAAAACCTATGTAAGGTTTAATTAACCCTGGATTATTTGTAATAAAGTGGGTTAAAAGTAAAAAAAAGTCTCTGTCTGTCTCTCGCTCTCTCTCTCTCTGTTTCTCGCTCTCTCTGTCTGTCTCTCGCTGTCTCTCTCTCTGTTTCTCTCTCTCGCTGTCTCTCTCTGTTTCTTTCTCTCTCTCTCTCTCTCTGTTTCTCGCTCTCTCTCTGTCTGTCTCTCTCTCTCTCTCTCTGTTTCTCGCTCTCTCTGTCTCTCTCTCTCTCTGTCTCTCGTTTTCTTTGACCAAACATGGTCAATAACCCGGCCGACTGAAGCTGAAGCACGTCCTTCAGCGCTGCAGAAAAGGAGTGAGAAAGAAAGAAAGCACTCAGATCAGTTCAATGACTCCCATTCTCAGATTTAGGATGTTTGCCCGTAAACAAAACTTTACAAACAAACAATATTTAGTTATGAAAATCTACATGATCTCAGTGTTTATCCCTAAAGTCTGTAGTAGCACACACACATTTTTGTGCCGTATACACACTGATGATGAACATTGAGAGTGTATATATGTGTGTGTGTGTGTGTGTGACTCACCCAGCAGCGTGACCTCCTGCGTGATGCCGTAGATGTCGATGATGGCCCACAGGGGGCAGGAGACGTTGAGGCCGCAGTGGAAGAGCACCGGCTCGCCCTCGTTGACGCTGTAGAAGACGCGTCCGTGCCGGTCCGCCCAGAAGGCCAGAACACTGTCGCGCACCGCCAGCCTCTCGGGCAGCGCCTTGGCCCAGTACCCCGGCCGGGTCACCAGATCGGGGCAGGCGTACTTCGGGATGTCGGCCAAGCCGAGCTCCCCGGGGTCGGCGCTGGTGAAGCCGAAGCGCAGCGCCCCGCTCCAGCCGCTGTGCACCCCCGACAGCAGCAGCCGCACCCTCTCGTACAGACGCACGGGCCGCTGGCTGAAGGTCACGCCGTGGCAGAAGCTGTTCCTGCGCGCGGCCCGCCGCAGCTGTGTGTCCAGGCGGATGTTCTTGCCCTTGGCGTGCGGGTGGAAGCGGGGCGACCCGAGGCTGAGCGGGGGCGCGGGGGGGCGGTCCACGACACCACTGATGCAGTGCTGGCGACTGGCCACCGGGCGGCGCTGCAGGCTGGAGTCTGTGGAGGACATTAGAAAACCCATTACCAGCAGAGCAAACCAGAGCCGGACAGTATCGGAGTACATTACAGTACTTAAAGGGATAGTTCACCCAAAAATGAAAATTCTGTCAGTATTTACTCACCCTCATGTTGTTCCAACCCCGTAAGACCTTCGTTCATCTTCGCAACACAAATTAAGATATTTAAGATATTAAGATCGCTCCTGCATACAGTCCATAGGCTTCTTGAGGGAATGACTCTTGCTGTCCTCGAAAAGTCATTAAAGACATCGTTAAAATAGTCCAAGTGACTACAGGGGCTCAATCTTAACTTTATCAAACGACGAGAACACTTTTGTGCGCAAAAAAACAACAAAAATAACGACTTTATTTCAACTATTCACTTCCTTCTCCATGGGCCTGTAGTCAGTTAACGTAGTGTGATTGCATAAAGCTACGTCACACGTAGGCTCACTATTGGCCGACGCTGGTCATGTGTGTGATGCGTGTGACGTACAATAACAGAAGCTTACGCTATTAAACTAGTAACCTGACTCGCGCAGAGGGAGAAATAAACCAATAGTTGAAATAAAGTCGTTATTTTTGTTGTTTTTTTGCGCACAAAAGTGTTCTCGTCGTTTGATAAAGTTAAGATTGAGCCGCTGTAGTCACTTGGACTATTTTAACGATGTCTTTAATCACTTTTCGAGGACAGCAAGAGCCAGTACCTCAAGAAGCCTATGGACTGTATGCAGGAGCGATCTTAATATCTTAAATATCTTAATTTGTGTTCCGAAGATGAACGAAGGTCTTACGGGGTTGGAACAACATGAGGGTTTTTGGGTGAACTAACCCTTTAAGTACAATTTTGAGGCATCTGTACTTTACTCGAGTACCATTTTTGGGGAGTACTCATGACTTTACTCAAGTATATTTGAGAGGGTAATATTGTACTCTTTACTCCAATATATTTCTATATACATCCATAAGCGTGAGTAATAAGTGACTACTTCTAAAAAAAAAAATGGCAATAAGAAAAATCTCGGAAACCCTCAAATTGTTGTTTCCCTCTCAAACGTGATTGGATTGTGCAGCTGCCACTGATTGGGACAGCCTATCAGCAATCACCTTCAGCTTTCTGCCAAAGTCGAAACTCATTATAGACCATTTCACAAGATGTAAACAACACTGGTCCAGAAGCACTTCCTGTTTCAGTTTTTTAACACTACATAAAAGCTGGGATAAAATACAACCAACAGAACATGTAAAACTGAATCAAAAAGTTAAACAAACATCTTTAAGATGTTTTCTTTACATGTGAAATAAAGAAAACAGTTACAAACTGAAACAGGAAGTGTTTCTGGACCAGTGTTGTTTACATCTTGTGAAATGGTCTATAATATGGAAAACTGTTATCCACTCGCAGCAGTGGGCGTTTACTTCGTCTTCAGTGCGAGACGCCCATAAAAACCGAGTGTTTTTCAGCTAGGCTCAAAACTAGGGTCGAAAATAGCCTATTACTTATTCATTTTTTATGTTTTTGATTGCAAAAACCAAGCGAACGTCATACGTTCACCTAAGAAAACAATATAACTAAATTTAAAAAGCCAGTTCATGACCCCTTTAAAAAAAGTGAAGAAACACATGGCCTTAAAATTATCACGTAACTAAACTTCATGCGTAATTGAAAGCAGTTGTCAGGTTTTTTCTATTACGCCAGTTCATCTATCCTGTGCCGAGGCTTCATTAACCCCTCGTTCATTATCACACATTAAACATTCATCACAGCTTTTACTGTCCGACCAGTTTTTATAATTTACTCTATTTTGTCCATAAAACTTCAAACAAGATTGTGCTTTTTTTGGGGCAATATTTGTATTTATTATATGTGTTTAGTATGTTTTGTGTGTACTGTGAGTACTGTACTGTCTTCATGTCTTGCTGCTAATAGTGTGTGTGTGTGTGTGTGAGTGTGCAGTACACTGATGCAGTGCTGCTGACTGGTCACCGGGCGGCGCTGCAGGCGCGTGTATGAACGCATTACAGACATATTACACACACACATTACACACAGGTGCTGCTGCATAATAAAAACAATCAAATAAAGATACGCCCAATAAAGTGTGTACTATTATTGTGACTAAAAAGTATGCACACTTGAGTGTGTAGCAGAAGAGTTAGCCAGCTTTGGGACACACAACTGTCTGTGTCATCTTTAACGTGCAGAGATGCGAGCGACAATCATACACACACATCTGCAAACACACACACACACACTAGTGACACTCCTCCTTACAAACGAGGTTCAGGGAATCTCACACTAAATCATTCATAGAGTCCACACAAGCAACTTTTACACGAAATGCTCTTCTGTGGAGGTCGGTGTGTTTTGTCCTGCCGAGATTCAGTGTTTTTGAGAGATTCACTGCTGATATTTTAAATGTGTTCCTCTTATCATATAAACATGAGATATTAGGGTTATTGGACCGTTGCTCAAAGGATGCTGCTTTCATTTAATTGTTATGTAAATGTCATATTCACAAATGTAAATAAATTCACAAATGCCGAAATTAACCGAATCATACAGTGTTTAAGGAGATTAAAATGTGCATAGATGTGATGCCAACACTAAAATAACAAACTAAGCAATTACAACAACTGCAATATGCTCTTCATTTTAACATTAATCATCTATTTATACTTATTTAACAATATATGTACCCTCTGTTCTCTTTTTTGTCATTTCTATTGTATTGTTAAGCATCAGATATGTTCTTATCACTGTAAAAAAATATTGATTGTTTAACTTAAAAAAGTAAGTAACCTGGTTGCCTTAAAATTTTAAGTTCATTGAACTGGAAAAAGTGAGTTAATACAATGAAGGAGATTAATTTAATCATCAGAAACTCAAAATTATATGTTATCTGAACTAAATAAATTATTGAAGTTGATTTGACAAAAGAAAAAATGTTGAGATTACTACACTGTAAAAAAATATTGTTGGTTTAACTTAAAAAAGTCAGTAACCGTGTTGCCTTAAAACTTTAAGTTGATTGAACTGGAAAAAGTGAGTTAATACAATGAAGGAGATTAATTTAATCATCAGAAACTCAAAATAATAAGTTATTGCAACTAAATAAATTATTATAAAGCTGATTTGACAAAAGAAAAAAAAATGTTGTGTTTACAAATCTTGAAAATATTTTTTTTACAGTGATGAAGTAATATATATTTAGATTTTGCAATTTGTTGGAAATAAAGCATAAAAACATGAAACAAAAATGTGATACTAATGCAAAACATGATTTATGTATCAAATTATTTAATTAATGATTATTATTCACATTATTAAAGGCCTACATGACATAAAAAGCTGTTTTGTAATGTATAATGTATTCATAAAATCGTATTTCTCCTTGTACAGTATATATACTTTATTAAATAAATACAGCGGGTTCTGAAGGTTAAGCCTTTACTGACGATATGAATTTTTACACACAAATGCCAAACATGATTAATTAACTCATAATAATATTCCATTATTATTATTATTAGCATTATTTAAGGCCTACATGACATAAAAAGCTGTTTTATAATTTATCATTTTTTCATAAAATTTATTTCTCCTACTATACACCTTTATGACAAATGCAAAAATATGTATTCATAACAATTAATTTTCCTACTAGGCCTATACATACACTTTTATAAAATAAACGGCGGGATTCTGAAGACTACACTGACGATATTCATTTTTCTTTTAGGTTAAAAATAAAAGTTGAAATCGCACACAAGTTAGTCATGTTTCAATTCAACTTTTCACTTAAATTTCTAATAATGTGATTTCATAAGACCATTTTTACGAGCGGCCCAAGGACACTATAAAGGCCTTATTCCAGGAAACATGCGTATAACCATCAGCACTAACGAGTGTGATGATGTCGTGATGACAGAGCTCCCATAATTCAGTGCGGCGGATCAAAGTAGAGCAGATTGACGGCAGTAACTCTTTCCCGGTTCCAGGAACGAGCGCTGATGTGTCTTAAATAGCTCTTCACAAGCACACACACACTTTACCCTCATCCGTCACAGTCGAACGACACTGAATATCGCTATATTACACATCAAAATATAAACAATAGCAATTATATATATTTATACATATTTATATACATATATTTCTGCATTGTGACAGCATTTTCATGACAACTACGCAGCAAATTGAATTATAATAAAGTAAATATGCGTATTTATAAGCAACCCTTCATCATGATGTCAACCCTTGGCTCCTAAAATGTCATTACGATAATGAGAAAAGATATTTCATGAAAACAAGTACTGCATTACAGTCATGGACAAAGGGATCATGTACTCGTCCTCAACGAGTTTCACAAAAGAAGAGATTGTGAAGAAACGAGAGGCTAAACGGTTGATTAAACTTCTACAGTATGGAAAATAATAATATGGAAGTCACTGTGCCCCATTACTCAAAGTAACTCGTGTTCAGTAGAAGAAAGAAACAGTCACAATGCAAATCAATGTTAAAGATCCTAAAATGAGTGTCATTTTCTTTAAGGATCTCTGGTCATTTTTGGGTGAAATACAACCAGGACATTTTTCAGGAGATTTACACAAGTAAAAATAAAAAGAGTAATAGTAATATATACGGTGGCCGAGAGAGCTCAACGCACGGCATATTAAGAAAACATCTTCATCACTTTCACAACACTGTGTGTGTGTGTGTGTGTGTGTGTGTGTGGGTGGGTGCTTCAAATACTCCAAACACAAGCAAATATAGAAACACACTGCAAATAGCACACAGACCACAGCGGAAATGTTTCCAGGGGACAGAATTAAGCGACGCACGCGGCTGGGACACGCTTTAGCTGGTGTGCACCATAGACATGTATATAAAGGCTAGACGTGTTACGGCGGAGTTTCCATCGACATCACCGGCGGCCATCTTGTCACAGGCAAGCTGATGTAAGATGAGTGGTCAGCACGAACACAAATACTCTT